GACAGTCGTTACCAGGCAACGTTGGGAGAATGGAAAGATACACCTCAAAATGGACTGGACTTCTACAACAGGGAGTCTCCCCGGAGCCGAACACGAGATGCTCGTCTGCTGGAAACGATAAGAAACGGAAATAGGGCACAGTGGGATTGTACTACACTCTTCTTTGCAATCCTTTACTCTAATTCTATTGGCCACGGACTCAGTGCAGCAGTTCGCTCCAGTGTCGATGATCTCAGAGAGTTTCGCAATGATGAGTTTGCTCACTTGCCACATGGTCAGCTATCAGATTTACAATTCAGACTTGCTGTTCGTAAAGTTGAGAACGCATTTCGGTCACTTGGTCTCTCAGTTGGTGAAATTCGAAACATCTGCAAGCAGAAAACTTTCCCGACCGAAGAGCTTCAAAATGTTTTGAAAAACGTTCAAACATTTGAAGAACAACACCGGTTCCTTGAAGAACAACACCATATTCTTGCGGAGCAGTTACATAGTGATGTTTCCTCGTTCTGCATTCTTCCACCTAAACCATCGCACGTAATCGCACCTCGCGAAGGCGAGGTTTGTGAAATAACGAAACAGCTTGAACGACTAAGAGAAGGAAATGAAAATGGTTTGAGTTACTTATATATTTCAGGTAACCCTGGAAGTGGCAAATCTCAACTGGCTGGTCTAGTGGCTCAGAAATTCTACGAAGCAACCAACAAAGACCTCAAATCCCCCACGTTTGTTATGACTCTGAACGCCGAGAACTCGAAAACGCTTTTGGAATCGTACGCTTCTTTGGCAAGACAAATCAAGTGCCCTGAATACACAATTATGCGCACCCTTAACTCTACAAAGATGCAGTTTGAAGAAAAAGTTAGCAATCTAAAGGATTTGATAGCAACCAAAATCCCCCTGTACAGTTCTTGGCTCTTGGTGGTCGACAATGTTAGCAGTTTATCTGACACACATGATTTTCTCCCTCGGTATGGAGACGAACAATGGACACGAGGCCTGTTGCTCATCACAACTCAGAACACTTCATCCATCCCCTCTGAAAGCTCCTTTGTCTCTCACATTTCAGTGAGCGAGGGCATGGTGCCCACAGATGCCTGTTGCTTTTTAGCGAAGGTTTCTGGGATTGGACAACTGGGAGTAGAAAATGAAGTAGCGAAGGCATTAGATTACCAACCTCTCGCGCTGGCTAGTGCAGCCGTGTACGTCCAAAAGATTCGACAAAGTCAAGTTGGTAGAGACTTCGGATGGAAGGAGTATTTAGACAAGCTTGAAAAAGGTATGAGAGCCATCACTGAAAAGGAACTTACAAAAACCAACCCAAGTTACAAGAAATCCATGACTGTGGCAACAAGGCTGGCCATTGAAAGAGCGTTAAACAATGACGCTGTTTTAAAAAGCGCATTTACACTCCTCTCTCTGTGTTCCCCACAACCTTTGCATCTAGACATAGTTATGAATTACATTTTGAATGACAACAATCTGCACTTGGATAAAGAAGAAATCGCTCTTCAGATCCAAGGCTACTCTCTTCTTATGTTCGAAGAAAGAGAAAAAGGAATTTTTGCTAGTGTGCATCGAGTTGTGCATGAGGTAAGCAAATCTGTAATCAACGAGTGTCGGGAGCATGATGAACACGTTCAAAGTGTTGCACTAGCTGTAATGTCCTTTAACCAATTCGTAGACTCTTTCCTACCACAGACGTGGAACGAGCAAAACTCTGTTTGTGACAGCGAGCATTTCATTTCACACTTGTGTGCGTTAGCTGTCAAAGTTGAAAACTTCTTTCTTCTCGCAGATAAATATCGAGTGATCAAGGAAGGTGTCTTCAACTATTCCGATCTATTAGAATATTTCAGAAGGTTTGCGATAATTTGTCGGAATCACTGCGAATTTTCAGGGGCAAAAGTTTACTGTGAAACAGCTTTGAAACTGGTTGAAAATATCAAAGCTTCTGAAGGTGGGGATCGTGCTGATATCTACAGCCTGTTTAGCATCATATTATGGAAAATGGGTGAGCTAAAACAAGCAAAAGAGTATTGTGAGCGTGCTTTAGACATAAACCTGAAAGAACTTGGACCAAAACATGTAGCCGTTGTGGCTACTTACAATGTTTTGGGACTGGTTCATCGTGGATTGGGTGACTTGAAAAGTTCCAAGGAGAATCATGAACGTGCTCTAGACATTCAGCTAAAAAATCTTGGAACCCAGCACGTTGATGTGGCAAATACATACCATCATCTAGGTAATGTACAGCACAACTTGGGTAACCTGGATCAGGCCATGGAGTATTACGAACGTGCTTTGGAAATCCAGGTGGAGAATCTTGGTCATGATCATATTTATGTGGCGTTTTCATTCAGCAACATGGGTGTAGTGGAAAGTGAATTGGGAAACCTTCAGCAAGCCAAGAAATATTTTGTACGCACCCTGGACATAAGGTTGAAAGCACTTGGCACCGAGCATGTTGATGTCGCGCGTAGTTACTATGACTTGGGCGTTGTGCAGTACGAATTGGGAGACCTACAAGAGGCTAAGAAGTGTTATGAACGTGCTCTAAACATTCGTTTAAAAAAGCTTGGACCCGAGAAAGTTGCTGTCGTGCATACTCTTTATGAGTTGGGCGATGTACAATGTAAATTGGGGGATCTGCAACAGGCCAAGGAATACTACGAACGAGTTCTTGGCATTGAATTGAAGAAGCTTGGACCCGAGCACGTTGATCTCGTGTCTATTTACCTTAAATTGGGCATGGTACAGAGTAAATTGGGCAACCTGAAACAGACCAAAGAATATCACGAACGAGCATTGGCTGTGCGCCTGAAAAATCTTGAATCTGACCATGTTGATATGGCAAATTCATACCATCATTTGGGTAATGTAGAATTTGCCATGAATAACGTGCAACAGGCGAAAGACCTATACGAACGTGCTTTAGAAATCCAATTGAAGAATCTTGAACCTGACCATGTTTATGTGGCTTTTTCCTACGAAGGCTTGGGAAGTGTACAGCGTAAATTGGGTGTACTGGTAAAGGCAAAGGAGTACTATAAACGTGCACTAAAGATTAGGTTGAAAAGGCTTGGCCCAGTGCACATTGATGTCGCATTTACACACCATAATTTGGGTATGGTGCAGCGTGAATTGTGCCACTTGCAAAAGGCTAAGAAACATTTGAAATGTGCTCTAGACATTACTTTGAAAAAGCTTGGACCCGAGCATGTTGATGTCGCGCGCATTTATGATGACTTAGGTAATGTACAGTATGATTTGGGTGAATTGCAGGAGGCCGCAAAGCACTGCGAATGTGCTCTAAACATAAGGTTGACAAAGCTTGGACCCGAACATGCTGAGGTCGCCTCTTCTTACCATAACCTTGGTTATGTACAGTGTCAATTGGGTGATTTGCAAAAGTCCAAGGAATGTTACGAACAAGCATTGGCCATACGCCAGAAAACTCTTGGATGTGACCATATTGACATGGCGAATACATACCATCATTTGGGTGTTGTAGAGTGTCAATTGGGTGATCTGCAACAAGCCAGGAAATGTCACCAACAAGCATTGGATATACGCCTGAAAAATCTTGGACCCGAGCATGTCGATATGGCGAATTCATACCATTATTTGGGTAACGTACTGTTTGCAATGAATGACATGCAACAGGCGAAGGAGCTTCACGAACGTGCTTTAGACATCCAACTGAAGAATCTTGAACCTGACCATCTCTATGTGGCGTTTTCACTCCATAACCTGGGTGAAGTACAGCGAGAATTGGGTAACCTGGTCGAGGCAAAGGAGAATTATGAACGTGCTCTAAAAATTAGGTTGGAAAAGCTTGGAACCAGGCATGGTGATGTCCAGAGTACTCTACATGAGTTGTGTAACGTACGACGTGCCTTAAGAGACTTGCAACACGGCGGGGAAAGTCATGAAGGTACTATTGAGAAGGATCATGAACAGCGGAAATGCTGTGTCATCTCTTAACCCTTTCTTAACCCTTTGAGAGTGACTAGCATCTAGTTTCTCCCAACAGTATAACCTCTGCATTACATAGTGAGGTCATGAGAATAAAGGAAATGATCACCCACTAAATATTCTCTTGATCGATAATCAAATTCTCCTCGTCAGCACCTTAGGAATTGTTTAGAAAACGGTATGGAGAATCTGCATACTGATGTTAGGATGTAAAGGGTTAATGATATTCTTATCTTCTTAAATTTGTAATAAATTGAAAAGAAAATTTTCAGGGTTATTCTTTTAGTCGTAACCCAAAACCAAATGATTGTACGTGTAAGAAAAGTCTCGGTGGTGCGATTAGTTTGTCAATTTTCTCGAATGATAGGTCGTAGTTTAAAGTAGTTTCGTTGAAAAGCATTTCCAGTCTTGTGCCTATTGTAAAACATTTTGTGGGTTTTGACCAGTAATGAGACGAGTAGCCTTGGCGAATAATTGTAATGGAGGAAATTCGTGTGGAACTTATGGCCTTCTCGTACACAGAGGTTTTCATCAGACAAAAATGGACTTTGTAATGGTTAATTCGATGTACTATTCGATAGAATAAACATGATCATTAAAGTCTATCTGTTGAACGATAGTTACCTTATTGTATGCGTGATTGACATTAAGGGACGAACCATTAGAAACAAGTGTTTTCTGGTGGGGGAAGGCCGGGTGGAAAACAAAACAATCATTGCATGGCAGGTGAATACGGTGTATCTATTAAAGTATATTCTAAATGAGTCCATAAAATTTTCTCCAAGGTTATCTACACTAAGCAGAGGAAGAATTTGCTATACTTATTTGCCAGCGTAAGCCGTATGATTTAAACCCAGAACCTCCGGATTCCGCACTTTGTTGCTCTGCTATTGAGCCAGAGAGATTTTGTGAGGGAGCAAGTGAGCCTTTAGCTATTTGCAAACGTAATTAGCGAGAACCTAACTAGCGAGAACAGCGAGAACGTGCGATAGCACAGCGCCCTCTAAAACACTTTCAAGTGCTTCTGAAATGAAGAAACAAATCATTCGATCGGTTCAGTAGGTAAACGCGATTTAGACATGAACTTTCATGAAAAATGAACGTGCAAACTGGCTCAGCATGCGCTAGTGTATTTGCTGAATCATCTTATGAGCATGTAAATTTTCAGCTCTGGTCTTCAGCACAATTCATGATTGACCTTGTAATACAACACATACTTTTGAAAAAGGTTCGCTGGAAGCGTAAACGTCGAGAATTAATGAAATATTTTTTGTTGATTTTTGCAAGTTTTTTGCTTTGACGAAAATTTCTCTTAAATCATTAAAGACATTTCTAAGAATACGTTCATACGGTTTATGGAGAATCATAGCGCTTGATTACAGATAGGCGTTTAACCATAAAAAGAATTTACATTACAACAGCGACGGTCATGATTTCCAGAAAATTGTATTTTCTTTATTTTCTTTGAAGACCAGCCATTATCATCGCCGTCGGGGGGGAGGGGAGGGAAGGAGGCGGATGATTTCGGGTCAGGGGATCACACGGTGTTCAGGGGGAGCTGAGGGGAGGGTCGTAACGGGGTTAATCGTCAGCCATGAAACGGTGCAAAAATTGACAAATTTTAACCTTTCGTCCTAAAAAAGTTAACCGTTAAAATTTTTCTTTTAATAACAAAGGAAGGGGGTTAACTGTTAACCGTAAAATGGCCGAAATTTTAACCGTTAACCTTTAACTCCCACAGGTGATTCGCATATAACTTCTCCTTACAATATCCATGTACTATCCAACAAACAGGTAATGAGAATACTCAAGTGTATCAGGTAGAAGTTGTTATCTTGATCTAACACCAAATTCTTGCAACTAATTTACAAGGAAATGTGTAGCAGCTAGAGGGGAGAATTAACAATCAGATCCTGCGACCCACGGAAGGGGCAGCGGTCGTCGCCAACAGAGTGTAAATGGGGGACTATAGAAAATTGGTCTTCAGTTAACTGGAAATGAGGGAGAGAGGGATAGTAGGAATAGACATGAGGGAGGGAAGGATAGTAGGAATAGACATGAGGGAGGGAAGGACAGTAGGAATAGACATGAGGGAGGAAGGGACAGTAGGAATAGACATCAGGGAGGGAAGGATAGTAGGAATGTTACCGAGCCTCTTTGGGGGGCAGGTTAATTTAGCGAGGCACGACCAAAATCTTACCAACCCCACCCCCTCCTTTGATAAATAATGACCCGTCTCCTTTCAGGATACAGAAATATATCGGTGATTCGTGATACGAAGAGGATATAAATCTCCTTAATCACTAAATCTTTACCCCGGCATTTAAATATTGCTTGATAACCACTTTTTTCCAAGTTTCCTCTTTCATAGACTCCTAGAGCTATCGCGATCTCCGAAGAAGCCTTCTTCCTCGGATCTCAAGCAACTTTCTAGCCTCGGGATATTCCGTCAGAGCCTCGAGCAGATCTTCTTTTGACAAGCACAGAAGTTCTGAATATCCTTCGGAGCGAACGTTTGCGGTTCGACGATTTCCAGTGTTTGATAAATTTAGGATGCTTATTTCACCAAAATAGCTACCTTCATTCAGTGTAGCGATCACAGTTTCTTGATCGTCCTGTACAACTTGCAGTCGGCCACTGCTCACTAAGTACATCTCTTTTCCTGGCTCACCCTTTCTGCAGATGAAATCACCAGGGGAGTAAACTTGCGAGCGAAGTTTCAAAACGATCTCTTTCAACAGACCAGGCTCTACATCAGCAAAGACTTGTACTCTTTTTAAAGTTTCCAAGTGAACCTGTACTGCTATTTCAGTTCTAAGCGGATGAGGCAGTTTACTGAGAACATTATCGCGGTCCAAAGAGGACTTTTTTGTTCCCCACATGTAATTAAACCACGAAACAACCCTCTTTTGCAAATCGTCGTCAATCTCGTGAAAAACTAAGTACTGTTTCACAGCATCGGCTTGTGCTAAGAATTCTCTTCGCACATGTAGCATGTGTGTTATCATGCTTCCAAACTGCCCAACTATTGCAGCAAACACCAAGAATCCAACCGTTAAATCGACCGTCACAAAGAAAAGTTCTACGTCAGTCTGGGGTGGGTTTTCCGTCTCACCCGTTGTGAGCATTCTTGATGACCAGTACAAGCTAAACAAATACTGTCGGGTTAGAGAATCGAAACCCGGTGAGGTTAAGTCCGGGTAAACCCAGGTGTCCGATCCAAATCCAATCCATTTTGACAACAAGAAGTAAAAACAAGCGTTCCAATGAAAGATCAACAAAACCATAGCAATTAAGGAGCACAGACGAAGAAAATTTGGGAATCTTGAAATGGTCTCGATCGTGGCCCTTAATTCTAACAGGCGATGCAGACGCAGAAGACGATTGAATCTCAGAGCAACCGAGTTGATTCCAACCTCGAAGTAGAACAGGTCCAGAGGTATAATTGACAAGCAGTCTAATTTAAAAATTATTTTCTTCGTGTAATTTCGATGGAGTTGCTTCGGATCTCGAACAAGAAGTCCTCGTTCCATGAAGCCTACGAAAGCAATCAACATCAAGAATTAGGAAAAAAAGTAACGCTTAAAATTTCCATTGGGTGAAATTAAAAAAATTGATCAATGGTCTTGGTAGCTCCTGAACGTGCGCAATCTTTTGTTTTGTCTTCACATATTTACACGAATGAATAAATTAGTGGGAAGTTCCTAATGGTCACAGCAACTTCTGAGCTTTTTTTGTGAAAAGGAAATTGGGTACAAAAAGTTTGACTGAAACAGACTCCAGAATATACTTTTCTGCCATTTTTGATCAGTTACGTCATTTAACTTTGCCGATAAAGTTGTGTAGACATTCTTTTTAACCATGTTTGACTTTCACTCGGCGTGAAACGAAGTCTGTTGATCAACGAGACCGTAGATAGCATTAGCATAGCAATTAGTTGCATTCAACTAGTTAAGGGATAAATAATTAATACTAGACGGAACTTTTTCGTGGAATTTAACGTGCCGAGAGTTACCCGAAAATATCTTTAACCTCCAATCAGGAAACCTATGAACAGTCGCCCCCCCTTCCATACGAGGAAAAAAATTGGGATGGGGCCTTCCCAATCTAGTGAGCAATACACAGTGTGCGATATGATCACCTAGAGTCATTTTCACCTAATGATTATTAAGGTTTCAAAATTGACAGAAATATGCCAAGACGTTTCCCAGAAAGTGGTACACAAGAGGAAAAAGTACTGAATCCTTCGTGAAAGATTTCGCTTTCAGAGTCCACCAACTGAGCTGCTAAGAACTCGTTGGCGGTATTGGCCAAAGTAGTTTCAGATTGTGAAAAGCGTCTCGCATACTGTGATACAACTAGGATCAGAGGCAATGCCAAAAGCGTCATGTGAATAAACAGGTTAGGAGAGATGAAAGTCGTCTTTAAAAAGAGATGCTGTTCATTTTGTCTCGACTGTATAACAAAACTTATCCGAATTTCCCGCGAGAAATCGAACCTAAAACCTTCGGATTTCACGCATCGATACTTTACTACTGAGTTACAGAGAAATCGTTGACGAGTCAAGCATTTGTTAAGTTTATATAAGTGGTAAGCGGCCCGCCAATTCAGGATTAGCAAAGTCAATAGTGTCCTGAGTGGAGATAAAGATTAAGAAAGATTGATTGTCTGTTCGGGCTCAACCGGTTAATAGGACATGTTGAATACTCGTCACAAGTGTTGGGTGGGACAAATTTAGTGCATGTTTCTATGCTTGTTTCCTAAACTTTGCTTTTCACGTGCTTGCAACCATCAATTATACGATCATTTCCCTCCATTCTCTAAAACTAATGATAGATTTCTGGCGCCGAAAGAAGTCTTAACAACCAATTATCAATTGTTCGAGTTTGTCCTGCCCTAAGGCGTAGGGCGCCCGTTTGTCTACATTTATTGTACAACGGTACAGTACCATAAAAAAGCTACGATATTGTTCTTCTTGAAAAGAAGGCATAATTACAATTTTCAGGGCCAATAAGAAATAATTCACATCTTTAAATTCTACTTTTTGAATTGGTGTTGTTTTAAACCTTTGTTCCGCTATATCGGTGTATTTTATGGTGTGTTATGTCTGTGGAAATCAGTTTTCGAGCACAACAAAAGCCGTTAATATGGCTATCGTATCGAAATTGTCTGGTGCTAATCCAATTTACGTTAGCGCAACCCACCAACCTAATTCTTGAGGTTTTTGTTAATTTCCCATCCCATAGAGGTGAGGAATGAAAGCTATTAAAACTTGCGTAAATGCTGGTTTTATGCAATTTTCAAGGCGTAAAGTTTTAAAGTTTCATAGTTAAGTACATCTGACTTACTACCACTAAGGGAAAAAGCACCCTTGTAAGCGACTATTTTGAATGAAATCACTATGGAAAAAAAATTGACACTTTGCTAACTGAAAACAATCATAGATCTTTCAGAACTAGTTGGTTCATTTAAGAATATTGCTTCACAGAAGTAAGACTACGTGAATTTATCAAGGGTCGAGACACTTGTGTTTTGTCTACTATCTCAGAGTTTAAAATGTAACCAAAACTACGTTCCATCAGTAAAACGACTTTCCGTTTGATGAAGAATTGAGAGTAGGCAACGCTACGTTTCAACATCATCAAATTTACAACTTTTAATTAAATTACCTACGAAGGGAAGTGAGTAATTTTTTTGCATTTAAACGACAAAACCATCTTGGCTAAAAAGAATCTTTTCGTTTAGAAGGACTTAATGTCACAAATCGTTTATTTGTTAAATGTAAGACTATAAAGAAAACTGTCACGGAGTAGGGGAAATTTCTTGTACTGAACGCTCTTTCTACATTTCGAAGATTTCATCCTTTTTTTCAATTATACAATCATAATAATCGCAGTTTTTCCGGCTTAGTTGCTGCGAGTGTTAACTTCTGTTGTTATTCAAACTATGAGCCTTTTTACTTTAAGTTAAGCTGATTTGGCGACAAAGTTTGAGACAATAAATAATTAAGGATTTTTTTCCCCTAACAGCTGCAGTGAGTTAATAACGCAGAAAATTTCCCTTGACTCGACTTGGAATCAGAAGGCTCAAAACAGTGCTTGTTATTCTAACAGTTTGAATTAGAGAGAAATGCTACTCGTTGAAGTTGCGCTAAGGTTGAAACACAAACTGATCAAAATATATATTTCAAATAGAATTTTAGCTTAAAATTAACTGCATTTATAACTTCTGAGTAATTGCAAGGGCTGTGCAAACTGTATCAGTGTCAGACCATTCTATTCCGAGCAGTTAAAGAACACGGAAAGAAGCGAACGTGTTGCCATATTTTTTTGAAAAACACTTTGGCATGCACATAAAGAAACGAACCAGCTGTCGTAAGGAGCTGCTTACCTGTTTTGAATTGTATCACCATATCCACGATGTAGATGATATCTGAGAGGTAATCCAAAGTGAGCCAGAGTGATAAAGTGTTAATCTGAAGGTCTAAAAACGCTGTGCGCGCGATGATGAAAATCCAGTTGTACAGTACAGATATCGTTACAATTATCAACCAACAGTAATGTAAAGATCCTGAAGGATCTATCACAATCGAGGAGGCTGAGGAATCCAGCTTCCTGCTGTTTCGTGTCACATGCGAGGGACCGGCCATTTCTAGCTTTTCGAGGAACGAATCTACGCGCGGCGTGTTTTCGGTTCTTTTGGCACGAGTTTTGTTGAGCCATGAACTCGCGAGTTGTAACGTTTTCGCGACATGTACCATCGCAGAACCAGACGACTTTTCATTGCTTTCTTTATTCGCGTGGACCTCGTTGTTTCCGATACCTTCTGCAGCTGTCCTGAAAACCTCATGAACGTCTTCATCTTCTTTATCGTCGGCGTTTTCAAGTGCCTGAAGTTCTTGATTAAATACATCTTCATCCTTTTCGGCGCTAACCTCTTCGTTTCCAGTTGACTCAGTTGTAACAGAGTCCAAAAACTCCGAGCTGTTCATTGCCGGAGAGACGAAGACTTTTACTGTTTGTTCCATGAGTTCTTAAAGGATTATTTTTGGTTCTTAACACATGGCACAACAATTAGAAATTTGTGAAATGGAGCCGATTTTGTTTCAAGCAAAGTGATTTTTTCGTTTTCCTAGGAAAGACAACCTTGAAAAAGAAATTCAAACCTTAACCTCAGAAAGCAGCACTCAATCCACGTCCCTCTGTCCTTTAGAGACGGCAAACTAACTCTTAAGCTAAGGTTACAAAATTAAGTTCTATGTAAACGGAACAGTTCTTCACGTCGCTACGAAAACAAGCTTAATATCGATTGTTTACAGCATAATAGGCTACAACTCCCGAGGCGAGAGCAGATATGGCTTTTGTTTACTAATCACTTGAGATAATACAGTGTTCTTTTCAATAGATAAACAAAAAAGCCGCAAAGAATAATCGATCGGAAGCAGTGCTGAATAACATCTAAACTACGTTTGATCGCATCGATTTCCCCGTGTTTGAAACAGAAATCAAGATCTTAAAACGACTTAAACAGGTTGTTTGAAATGTTGCCTCTCTAGAATTATGTTCATACCGTGCTGACAAAAGTCGGTGGAAAGTTTAAAACAGAAAATTTTTAAAAATATATACTTAAGTATACACGAGGTCTTAAGACGCAGAAATGAATCAGTAGGGCATGTAAACGGCACAATCAAAAATCATACTTAATCAACGACGGAGAAGTGAAAATTCTTCGATCGCAAAAAAAAAAAAACGTCAACAAATCATAGAACATTCCAAAATTATTTTGCTATCGTTTCTTCATTTGGTTTACTTGATCAATACCTGGAAGGAGGTCCTTCAGAGACCCAGGCACACTGTATTTAAATCCATCTCATTTTGAACAATGAACAGCACATAAGTACCTCTTTATTAAACTCTTAGAGAGGACTTTCGAGGAAGTCATGTGGTTAATTATTACAGCTTAGGCTGATGTGCGTAGTTTTGCACAGAATAGCTCAGCGTGGGTCTTCACTTATACGGTACTTAGTTTTTAATTTAAAATTGCCATTTTCACATTGTTTTTTATTTTCGATTCGGTCTTTTTGTAATGCATTCATAATGTTTATAAGCCACATTTTAATAACCATTTCTTTATTGGTGGTCTCTCGTGAAAATTAAAGTACGAGTGCTTCAGGATGGGAGTTGAATATCTGGGATCTGAATATCTTCAACTCTGGACAAACCGGACGTCGCTTAGTCTCACAAATAATGGCATGAGACAGGTCTAACATAAATATAAGTGATCTCTACTTCTGATTCAGTCATAAAATTATTTACATCTTTTCCTTGAGCAAAGTTAACTACAAAGTAGAAAATATATTTGTGACGTTTTTAAGTAGGCTTTGAAAATAAAATAGAAAAAAAATGAAAACTCGATTCTCTCAGGTTTGAACCAGAAATACGCTTTCCAGGTGTATTTCATCAGTCAGCAAAATGTTATGCGATGAGTTACGGAGCACTACAAGTGAATTTTTACGAAATGGTGTCTTTGTCATCAACTTCCCATAAGACGCGTCCAGTGATTAAAGAAGGTTCGTCCCTTGCCCAAAACTGACAAAAAGCAGACAAACCAACCAACCAAAAAGCAAACAAAAAAACAAACAAACAAAACAAACAAACAAACAAACAAAACAAACAAACAAACAAACAAACAAAACAAACAAACAAACAAACAAAACAAACAAACAAACGAACAAAACAAACAATATGGATGCACAAGAGAAGAGAGACAGTTTTAAGTTTTTCGTTATACTTTTTCTTTTACAGCAGTTATGATGGTTAAAACGTTTCTTTTTAACAAAGCAGTTTTTATTATTTTCTTTAGGCTTTGGGGGTAATAGATATTTCTCACAATAGCTTCAACACCAAGAATGCACCACACTGTAAAAATATTCCCCAGGTAAGGGAGTCAAGTTATTTTAATTCAAAATGAATCAATGGTGTTAAAAATCACATCTTCCCACTCAAAAGATAACTTCTATCACTTACGTGCCCTTAAAGTCAGCCCTCTCTAGATCATTTTACCAAATCTATCATTCAGATATTTCCAATCTCAATGATAGCATCCACTACATTCCCAGTCTTCCGTAGACATTTTATAGCAAGATTTCTATCCACATTGAGCTGCTTCACAATTAAGTCAATGTCTGATTGTTCTAAGTCATCTTCACTCTCAGCTATTTCTCCAAATGCTAGAAATACAGACTTATTAAAGAGCATGTCCTTTATATTGTCACATGTTGCAATTTTACCTTTATTAATAAGTTTAAGTTTGGAAACAAGGATGCTCAAGTGATCTGAAATAATCTGTAAAACTGAACTACCATTGTCATTTAGCGACACCATAAGTTCACTCTTGACTTTATTGTGTTTGATATAAATTTTGATGGTGTGTTCTTTGGTGCCGTTTGCAGAAAAGTCTACATCCTTATTACTGCTTTCTTTCATAGAACCATGATTTCTTTCCCTGATATTTTTGTCATCTGCTTTGTTTTCAATAGTGTCATTGAAAGACAAGCCATTAGAATATTCTTGTATGGCATCTCCCACATTGGCTATTCCAGCCATGCTACTGTTTTCCAAAGAAAGTAGACTTGAAGGTAATGAAGGAGTTTGTAACTCAGTTGATGATGTACAAACTTTCCTTCCATTTACTCTAAACTCCAGGCAACTTGGTTTATGGTTTGGCCAGTGAAGCAATTGACACTCCTTGGAACTAAAAAAATGGGATGAATTGAAATGTCTTAAGTTGTTAAGGACAGAAAAGAAAAATAGGAAAAACATCAGTCGTAAAGTTAAGAAAAATTGAAAAAATATGTTCAGGAGTTTAATTAGTAAGAAAAATCCTATGAACTGTGATTAATTCGCCGTTTTTACAATTTGTTCGATAAAGAGAGGTAATGGAGTTCGGGTGCAAAGAAATGTGGCTATAAAAATCATAATATTTACCAATAAAATTCTTGCTTGCAGGCCGTGCATCGTTTCATAAATCTTTGTTTACTTTTGCAGTTCGCACAGACGACAACAATCACCAAATCCGCCATCTTGATTTCTTAGCCGCCAACAGAGGTCGAAAAAGACTGGTGACTTTTCAGTCATGCGCACTCATAACTTGAACTTTATTTTGGTTTTCAAGTAATTGCAAATCGGAGTTCTGACTGAGTTCAGAATATTGTGTGGGAAATATGGGCTAAAGAAATGGGTTGAAGGACAATTATGGTAGGAATAACTTTTCTCTAAAGTGTGTTATACAACTGTGTGAAATTGAAATCAGTTCAATCGATGGATTCCACATTTGCAGGGTGCCACCGCTTCTCAGTTGGAGAAGGACATCGGTCATGAATTTCCGCAAAATGAACATTATTTTGGCTTGGTGAATGTAAGTATGCTCGCATTCTTTCGCTCATTTTAGAGACAGACACCAGACTAAGGCGCTGATATGTATTTTAAACTCTTTCTCTGCAGTTTGGAAACACATGTTATTGCAATTCAGTTCTGCAAGCGTTATTTTTCTGTCGCCCGTTCCGCGAGCGAGTTTTGGGCTACAAACCTCTTTCCAAGAGGAAGGAATCGTTACTGACGTGTCTGGCTGATCTTTTTGGTAACATCGCTTCGCAGAAGAAAAAAGTTGGTGTTTTGGCGCCCAAGAAGTTCGTAGCTAGACTCAGGAAAGAAAACGGTGAGGAAAAATTTAATTTTTATGATTCTGTGTACGTGGTACGCGTAGGAACTGCAAGAAGCTGTTTAAATCAAACAAACTCGTTAATTTCGTACTTTTGATTATTTTCGTGCAGTTGCTTTTCAAATCTCTATCATGCAATTGCTGAAAGATCGAAAGGATTTTAGCTTGAAAAAATAACGTAAAAATGAATTAAAAACTGATTTAAGGTTCTTCGCCTCTGCAGCTAATGAAACCGTACCAGTAGAACATAAGTAAGACTTTTGCTGACCACGCAGATTTCTTACAATTTTTTCTTTGTTTTTTCTTACTTTTGTTTTTACAAAAGTGAGAAATCTGATTACCTTATTGTCAATTTGATTGTTGTAGCTTCCGGCTTCCAGGAAGTTCTAAGAATTTGAATGATTATTACATGCCGGTAATATATATGATGCAAAGTTGCCTTGTCAAAATACCCTTTTGATTAATGAAAATTCAGATTAAACAGTAATGCATAGTTCAGGAAAATAAACTCTGATAATTTTTTATTCCCCAGAACTTGGCATCGATGTCAACTGTTTTTAAGCCAAATTGCAAGATAAACTATCACAACTGGCCATTATTTACTGAATTAATTTATGGGACAATGTGATTCTAAGGGTGACAGATGTTAACCTATAATTACACCAGAAGTCAGAAAAAAAGTTATGAATTCCCTTCTTCTAATCATGTGGTAAATATCACTCAGATAAGAGTATTGTTTTGTTGACAACAAGAAGTTGTAATCTTCAGAGACACCAGGCTACTTTTGACTGAAAAGATATCTGCTGATATAAATTTAGTCTCATTGATGTAAACTTTAATGTTTGAGGAAGTAAAGGTAATATTTTTTAATAATAACTGGCACATATTTTTCACAGAACTTTTTGACAACTACATGCAACAGGATGCCCATGAATTCCTTAATTATCTTTTGAATACAATAGCAGATTTGTTACAAGGTGAGTGTATTTAATGCACAAATAAATTAAAGTTGTTAATGATTATAACTACTGATATTTTGTTTTTCTTTGGGGGTGAGGGGAAGGAAGGGAGGGGAGGCTGGGACATCTGGTGGTCTCTTGATTGAACAAAGGACTCCAGATCAAATGTGTTGCCAAATGTTTAGCCTGTCTCCACCTAGGAGTACGTACAGGGGAACTTTCAGGGAAGTGTATAAAAATGTTTTGAGGTTAAATGTGATTGAGTAGCAACCCAACCAGGGGGATGTGAGAGGCAATTTTCTTGCTCATTTCCCATTAGTGAAGCCACTCATTGGTGGGCCAATGGTGTGAGCTCACCTTTTTTGTTTTCTTATATGGATGGCAATATTATCATTCTTGTTTCTGAGAATGTCTTTTTGTCATCAAATTAGTAGTTGTCTAACAAAAATGTTAATTGTAGTGAGGAGTGTTTGAATCCCTGGTCTGGTATTTTTGGCATAATTTTTTGGCAGTAAGATTATACAGTCCTTCAACCTTCGGGTGTGATCCCACTTATGGTGAAAATTCTTATTACTGAGATGGAAAGTGATTTAGACCAACAGTAACAATCAAAGAGGAAAATACTGTTTGGAGATAAACCAAATTTTCTCGACTAGCTTGAAAAGAAACGCAGTTTTTTGAGAATTGACTCTTGGATCTTTGGCATACATGTACAAATAAAAGGGTTAACAGGGTTCTATGATATATTTTACCATGATTTTTATGTCTTAATTCAAGGTGAAAAGGCGAAAGAAAAAGACAAAGACAAACACAGCAGCACCAGTAGTGTAAGCAGTAAAAGTAGCGTGTCTTCTGCTGGAACAACAAATGGAGGATCACAGCAGAATAACAAGACAGAACCCACCTGGGTTCATGATATCTTTGAGGGAATTTTAACAAATGAAACAAGATGTCTCTGCTGTGAAACAGTAAGTGAAGCCTTTTTATTCCCAAGATCTCATCAATTAGTCTCCTTACTGTCTGCCTTAGAATTCTTATGATGTCAATTCAGATAATTTGGCGTTGAACCTACTTACACGTATAATAATTCCTTATTTTTCTTTGTTCTCATCACTTGTCTGCTTGATATTGTATTGATATTGTGAGGAGAAATTCTGTTTTGGTCACACATGGGACTTAACAGAGTTAAATATTTGGTGGTCTGATAGATTGGTATTTATGATGTTTGCTGCTGTTGGATGACAAAGATGAATTGGGAGGCTTGATGAAAGCAGCCAGAGTCAGAATGATGAAAGTAAAACAGTCACTGTACTTGAAATTGGCAGTATTTTTACCACAAATCATAACTGCAAGCAGCTATTACCTTTTTATTCAGCAGTGTCCTCAAAGAATGAACCAATACCATCATAGTGGAGCTCGCAGAGCGTAGCCCCATAATTATACAAAATAGTAGTAACCCATCAAGCCAAAAAAATTTGGATGTAAGACAGTACAACTGTACAAGATGCTACTTTTAACATGCATGGTCAACTGTACCGCAGGCACACCAACGCCATGGCTTTGTTCAGTGGTCCAGTGGTCAGTGCACTGGGCTCTGGGCTCAGTCGGACAACCCGGGTTTTAGTCCTGGTCGGGGCAAGGTGTTGTGCCCTTGAGACGTGCAGGAAAGAAAAATGCGAGCTCTGCTTTTAGGCTTGGCTAAATCTACATATTATGAAACTCCTTTTGATTTTAGGTCAGTAGTAAGGATGAATCATTTCTGGATCTTTCTGTGGATGTGGAACAAAATACTTCAATAACACATTGCCTTAAGTAAGTAACATTTTCGCCAAATTGTTTTTGTAAAGAACTGGTGGTCTCTAAATAGCTACTTTAAGCCTTGTAGTTTATCTCTTAAAATCAGCCATATGTACCCTCAACCCACGTAAGTACAGTGTAATGAGCAGAGAACAGAGGTTGTTGTACATGTACTGTAAGTTACACTTCTAACAAAGATAATGAGTTATATAGAAGTCTTATGTCAAAATGTATTTCAGGTCAAGAAGGGCAGTTAGTAATATACTTTAGATAAATGTAGTTTTAACCTTGAATTTCTTCTTTCTTTTTTTATAAACAGAGGCTTCTCCTCTACTGAGACACTTTGCAGTGAGCATAAGTACTTTTGTGAAACATGCTGTAGTAAACAGGAGGCACAGAAGAGGTAACTCATTCTTACCAATAAAAGGGCAGTTGCTGTTACAAAGGCCACATATGCAAAACTGAACAATTGGATTAGAGGGTGGTGGTAAAGTTAGTACAATCCAGGATTTTATTAATGCAGATTTGGCCATCATATGTCTATAGACCTGTATAATGCTATCAATTGTGATTTGTCTTCCAGGATGAGAGTGAAGAAACTACCAAAGATTCTAGCACTTCACTTGAAAAGGTTTAAATACATGGAACAGTTACAGAGATATGCAAAGTTGTCATACAGAGTAGTGTTCCCCTTTGAACTGAGACTCTTCAATACAGTGAGTACAACAGAATTATAATCATTGTGAGTTCCTATGGTCTTAAGTAGACAGAGGTGTGGTGGTTTATTGGTTAGGGTGCCAGACTCTGTTGAGACCTTTGGGTCATTGTGTTATGTTTTTGGGCAGGACACTTGCACTTCACAGAAGAGAGTTTTAGATCCAGGTTTGGTGTGTTAGTTCCAAGCATCAAATTGTGGTTGGCAGTTTGAGTTTAGAAGTTAGTGGTTCTAAGATTTTCAGCTTGTTAGATGGATGTTGACTTTCACCTGAAAAAAGTCAACATGGTTACTGCCATCCTGAATTACACAAAAAGAGAATTCACCTCACATACATTTACAGAACATACATGAAAACTTTTGAACAGGAAGAAGAAAAGCACAGATGGAGTTGACCTTCCCTGAAACTGCCTTGCATGAAGTTCAAA